TATATGTATATGTATATGTATATGTATATGTATATGTATATATTTATATATAAAACCTACGTAATCTACAGGCCATGTGTAACCTCCACTTACCCATATATGCAGTCCTCAGAGTTCCCATTATTTTTTTATTTTTATTTTTGGAGGCGTTGATATCTTGCTCAATTTATCTCCCAGTTTGTGAATAACTTATTTTTGCTGCAATGCCTCCAATTAAATACAAATTAATAGCACAATCTACAGTCCAACTGATCTGAATTTGTGGACTCAAATAGCGAAGATCTTATCTCCACTTCAGGAAAAAAAATCTCTGTATAATAATTTAGAACTATTGATGTAAGAATCATGCGAAGAACTTTATTTTATGAATTGGTGTCCCAAATAAATACGAGTTAAATTTCTATGATTTTTCCGTAATCGGAAGAAGTAACAAAACAGCAGGACTTTAAACTAATTGGAAGAATTAGTGTAGTAGTTAAGGAATCATGCTGGAAACTGGGAGGCTGTGAGTTCTAGTTCAACCTTAGAAACAAAGCTAGTTGGATGGCCTTGGGCCAGTCACTCTCTCAGCCCTGGGAAGAAGACAAGGGCAAACCACCTTTGAAAAACCTTCCCAAGAACCTCCTCATTTTTTTTCCAGTTAAATTCCCAGGAACTATTCTACTAATGACATTCCTGGTCTTTTATATGAATTTTGGAGCAAACATATTGATGACTAATTTGGGTTACCTTTGCTCTTAACTAAAGAAGAAGTATAATAAAATTATAGAATTTCTTTTAGCAGCTATTTCTATATATCCGTGTTATGGATTATTATTTTTTATTGCAGTATGATCATCATGAATTTCCTGGAGTTGTCCCGAGGACATTTGTTGGTCCAATTTTTATTGCTCTTCTTTCCAGTCCAGCCGTCTATATATTGTCCCTTTTACAAATGTCAAAATTCTATTCCCAGCTGATAGGTATGAGATACAGCCATTTTTCTTTATGCTTTTTTTTATTGTATTGTAAACCATTGTAATTTCTAATACTGTTATATAGCCAAAGCCCCTTAGACCATGAACATTACCCGTTATTATTTCTATTACAGATAATAAAGCTGATTTTTCATTCTTGTTCATGTTATTTTGCCATCAGTCCGAGGAACCCTAGGTTTGACAGTGATTTATGCCCTATGGCGGCTACACAAAGAAGTGAGAAAGCAGTTTGGTTTTACGGTATCCCTGATTTTCTGCCTCATAACAGCTACTCAATTCCACCTGATGTTTTACTGTACTCGCACCCTTCCCAACATATTTGCACTGCCTATTGGTAAGTACTGAGCATGCTTTTCAAAACTTTCCTTGATGGGTAAATAATGGTAAAGCAGTGTTCGCCATGACATGTCGCAACAAGGGTTGTGATTGGCTCCAGATGTTCCCTTGCCCAATGCTGAGAAGGCCAGCAGACACAAATGCCCTCTATGTCTGAGGTGTATAAATCAAGAATAAGGTAAAGGTAAACCTTTCCCTCGCACATACGTGCTAGTCATTTCTGACTCTAGGGGGCGGTTGCTCATCTCTGTTACAAAGCCGAAGAGCCAGTGCTGTCCGAAGATGTCTCCGTGGTCATGTGACCGGCATGACTAAACGCCAAAGGCGCACGGAACGCTGTTACTTCCCACCAAAGGGGTCCCTATTTTTCTACTTGCATTTTTACATGCTTTCAAACTGCTAGGTTGGCAGAAGCTGGGACAAGTAACGGGAGCTCACTCCGTTACGCGGCGCTAAGGATTCGAACCGCCGAACTGTCGGCCTTTCTGATTGACAAGCTTAGCGTCTTAGCCACCGAGCCATTGCATCCCCACAGAGAGTGGGATGCTCCCACAATGGGAGTGGCTAAACCCATCAAGCTGTGGGATGGGAAACTACACAGACATTTTTTTTGAACTCCCCTCCCACCACAATTATTGAAAATCAGAAAGATAAAATACCAGGGGGGGGGAAAGAAAACCTAAAAACAGGCTTAATATTATCTGGAAACCATCTCCATTCCCAATCACAAAAGGTAAAATAAATCAGGAAGTTCTGGTGCAACTGAATTGAGATACTTCCTCCAACCTGTAACACTCTCTCTGTAGAACGTTAGGTGCTTCCCCCACTTCCAGTCATTCTCTTCCAATGGTGCAATTTATAATCCAACAACATGCTTTTAAATGGGACGAACTTTACTGCAAGTTTGATTTTGATGATATAGCAGGCTTGTTAATTGTTTTGCTATATTTAGATCTTGACAGTGATCAACAAGCTAAGTTATTGATACCCGATTTGTCTGTTCATTTGTTAATCAGTTTTACTAGCAGTTACATCTTGGATGCAACAAAAGCACCGCCCGTTTATTTGGTTCTCTGCTTTGGCAGTCGTTATCTTCAGAGCAGAGCTTTGCATATTCCTGGGTCTTATGCTGCTGATCACTCTATTGAATAAAAAACTCTCCGTTGTGAAAATGCTTTTCTATACTGTCCCTGCAGGGGCTTTTTGCTTAGGTAAGTGTGGTTTTGAATTAGTGGGATTTTCTTCAGAAGTGGCTCTACTAAAAAACTACGTTGTAAAATTTTAAATGACACGTCTTCTTAATCTCATTTTAAAAGATTGAAAAATTCTGCACTGGGGTTTAGTGTGCAGTTACCTCGTCCTTTGTGGGACTCTGCTCTTCGTTCATCAATTGTGCAAGTAGATCAACTTAGCCTGTAGACTTAGTTATCTTACCAGAAGGCCCTACAGTAAATGGCAACGCATTTAATACAAAAGAGAATCAGCCAGTCCTGTTGCAAATAGAGGCTCCCTTTCTAATTCCAAGGGGCGCACTGGATATCTCTCAAAGTCCTGTCTGAATAGGCAGACCTTGCCTCCATGTTTTTAATCCTATGAAATCAAACCAGTGTATTTAACCTCAGGCAGAAGGAACAATACTACAGCCCCTTTCAAGGCCCAGCCTTGTGATTCTGCAGGCTGTGTCATCAAATCAACATTTCAGGTAATAGGCTGATTTCCATCCAGTTCTGGAATGACAGTTGTGTTTATTGCTTTAAGGCCTGTTGAACCAACGTTGTTGCTATTTTAAGTGATTTCTGCATAGCTCCTCACTTTTGCCTGTTTTCTCCTTTTAGGTCTCACAGTGGCTTTGGATTCTGTGTTTTGGAGGCAGCTCTTGTGGCCTGAAGGGAAAGTACTTTGGTATAACATTGTCTTAAATAAAAGCTCCAACTGGGGAGTATCCTTTTAAACATGGAGGAAACAGAATCCTATAGCACAACTTAAATGAGTTCAGTATTCACAATGTGAGAAGGAATATAACTGGAAATAACTAGATGAGGTAAAAAAAGGTCTTGTCATAAAACCTTTTTATTTTGCATCCTTTCCAAGCCACATCACTTCCTTGACATAGCAAGAATTGTAATTTGTATGGTACCAAGTCTTAAATGTTGTCAGCCATTTCTATTTCTTACCCCTGATTCCACATTTCTCACCTTATTCTGATATCTGCGGATACCTTTGGTGGTAGAAAATTCTTGTCATGCAAGGTTCCAGCTCCTATAGAGCTCTCCTTTTATATTAAAAGTGGATATATATACTTTTCCCCTTCAGAGTGGGAGTGTTGGAATGAAGAGGATAGCGATGGGCTCAGTGGCTCAGCCCAGTTAATACTGGTTTTGTTTTTCAGCCCAGATTTGTCACTTTCAGAGTGACATGGAAATGATCACTTATAAAAAGGACATGATCAGAATTGGTGCTACAAACTTCACTTTGCTCAGAATAGAGAGACCCATCTCAGCCTTTTTACTGAGTTAAAAGCTGGAGCCTTTAAATCCTCAGAAGTTACATACAAGTGACTGGATTTCAAATGGTTGTTTTCACTGTCCCAAGGTTGGAACAGTAGTTCACAAGTTTGAAATTGTTTGAACATTCCAGTGTAGCTGATTCTATGGCTAATTATGGTTTTAATTCTACAAACTAGGAAAATTTAGAAAGTAGGTTTGCTAATACAGTAGGAGGCACAGATCTATCTTTGCTGTCATATGCAGTAAGGTGATGGTGGGTGGTAGTGAGGATGAGTTAAGTAAAGATACGGTGGTGCTTAAAAGTTTGTGACTTGTTTAATTGCATCCTCTCTATCCGCTTTTAGGAAATTGTGTAGAGGTTAGATCATGTTTTATGTCATATTTATGTATAATAATGAAAAATCAAAATTGTTCCAGAAACTTAAGCATCACTATGTACTGCTTTTTTTATAGTAAGTATACTTTTTTTTTTTACTTTTTCCTAATTGAAAATTAGAGTTCACAGGTTCCAATAAATCCCTGTTATTTTTCCATGTCTTCTGAGGTTTTTTTTTTTTTTTTTGAGGCTGGCTATCAAATGCAAGTGTGCATTATTCAGTGCATGTACCTTGTGTTATGCCTTTTTTTCTTTTTTCTTTTTACAAATTTCCAAATAGAAATGGCTACATAAGGCAGAACAGTACATAACCGATAGCATAATTTACACTGATAACCTTTTGGATTGCTAAGTCCAAAAGCTATGTTGTCTTGTTCTTCAATCAGATTTGCAAGAAGATAGCGAAAAGTGTACATTATGAAAAAGGTTTCAATTTAACAGCCGAAGAAGTGTTTCTGTTGTTATATTTATAGATTGTGTTAAAGTGAGTACATCGTCACTGTTTTTTTTTTGTTTTTTTTGCTGGTCTCAATTCTTTGCTTGTTGATAGGGGCAGAGAGCTCATAAAGCATGCTTAACTGCAGTATTACTCCATGGTTTTCAGTGGCAGTTTTAAAAATTCATTGGACAACCTGCACGCTTTTTGGGTGATCATTTCAGAGATACTTCTTTAGCTAAACAGAATAACAAAACGATCACGAGTGGGCAAAAAAAGCACCTGGAGTGGGGGTTCCAACTTGGTCCAGCTTCTCCATTGAGTTTCCTCATTGGAAGCTGTCAGGAAACATCAGAAATACTTCCCTCCCGCCCTGCACCACCTTTTCATGCCTCCTTTTCCTCCACCTGTCATTTCCTTCCTCCCTCCCTCCCTCCCATTCCTGCCAGATTTCTCATTGACTTTGCTTGTAGGGAAAAAGACCAGCAGGAAGTTGCAAGGCCTGCAGACTGGTAAGTGGCGGTTGGTGGATGGGGAAGGGAACCATGAGTCTACGGGGAACAGGAATGGTGTATGGGGTTGCACAAGAGGTACCATATTGGTTGGGGAGATCACAGTTTGTAAAGGGTGACTGGGAGTGTGTGAGAGGTGCTGTGTGAATCAGGGAGGAGATATTGGGATGTAGCACAGGTAGGGGGAGTGCCCATGGGGGGGGGGGGGGCATAGGCCAGAAAAGGTGGGGGGGGGCTCCTTTCTCCTTCCTCCCCTCCTTTCCCTTGGCAGCAGGTGACTGCTGCTGGTTTGGAGAAGGTGTGGGGTGTTGCGGGACTGCCTGGGAAACTGTCACAGAATGTGGAAAATAAAGATGATGCAATCACAGCAGAAGCCCAGCAGTGTAGCAGCAGCTAGTAACACCGTCTGGCCATAACTTCCCCAAATTTCATTCCCTTTGAAGTGATGGGTTCCAAATGTTGGATGTATTCTTAAGTTGGCCCATTTCAGATACTTCCGTTCAAAAATTGTTAACCTGCAGTGCATTGTATCTCAAACAATGGAATTCTGCTAAATCAGTGGTTCTCTTCACACGATGTATTGTGTGGTTTTGTTGGTTACATAAAAGTCTAGACTTAGATCATGAGTTCTTCAGTGACAGATTAGAGGCATCTGAGGTGAGGTAAATGGGAACAGGGGATGTTTGTGTGTGGGTGCATTAGCACACATGCTTTGTACTTTTTTCATACGTTTTAAATGAAAGAGGTGATTTTGTATCTCACTGAATATATGTTATGTATGATAAAGTAGCTTATTCATACAGCAACGAAATATAAACATAAGAAAACATTTAAAAATAGTATTTTCTAGAAAGTTTCAAATGGCTATATGATGTTCTAGACAATTTTAGAAATGTAGAAGACACACATTGAGAAAAGTATTAATTCAAATAGTCTTTTTTAATTAAAAATTCCTTAACTGTCTTTTTAAAGACCTCACCTTTCTTGTGGTATTTTTACTCCGCCTTGCCTCGCGCTCTGGGTTGCAGTATTGTATTTCTACCACTAGGAGCAGTAGACCGAAGATGTTGGGTATTAATTCTACCCTCACTTGGTTTTATTTTCTTGTATTCCTTTCTCCCACACAAAGAGCTGCGATTTATAATATACACATTTCCAGTTTTGAATATAGTGGCTGCCAAAGGCTGCTCACGAATGTAAGTGTACTTGTACATATTGTATTTAATTTCTGTATCAAGATCTTGACTTCATTTTTCACCGCTTGCTAGTTTACCAATCACATTGTTGTCCAAATAACTTTGACAGGAATTCTGGGAGTGGCACTTTTAATCATCTTGTGGGCCCCAGATTGGGAAAGGCTGACTCGGAATAAAAGATTCTTATTTTGTCATTCCCTCAGGGCACACAGTCACTTAATATTGGCCTTAAGACCTGATGAGAGTGAACAAGATGTAAAATGGATGAAGACTGACACTTCCCATGACCTTTTGAATTAGAAAATATGCAAGCTGTTTAGTCCTATGAATTTTAAATCACAGAAAACTAACATCTGTCTCTACAAAGGATGAAAAAAAAATCCCCTTAAAAACAAACCTTATTTTATTAGGGCATATTGTATGTAGTAAATTCTGCCCCTCCTCCCCCCATTGCTCTTTAAAGCCCAATAAAACAGCAATCCCAAACCTTTCTGGCTCCATGAACCAATGGCGGAGGGAGGGAGGGGATGGTTTCCCGTGTGCAACCTAGTCTTGTGCATACGCTTTGTGCGCTTGCCTACCACTTGCGTTGCCCAGTACTCAATGAAGTCAGCCGCCCAGGAGTTGGGAATCCCTGCGCTAAAGGTTTGAACTTCTTCCAAAATTGCAAAGTATTACGTTCATTTCTATCTAATCAGGGTTTAGTATCAACCTGAATAAATTGACCAGATCAATGTATAGTATTTTAGATCAGGTTGACTTTGACCTGTGTTTTAGAGATAGGGTTAATTGCAGTTTAGGGTTTGAGCATCATGCTGAACCACACTTAACTGAAGGCAGAAATGCAAATTTCAAAGAAAAACTGTTTGTGTGTATAGAACGTAATCCCAGGGCTCTCACCTCTGATAGTAAACTAGTATAATACAATACAAAAATGACATCTACAATTCATATAACCTAACATTCAGTGTGATCTTTCAACAGCTGTGTATTGGAGTTGGATATATTGTGCCCACTAAACACACTATTTTTCTTTTCTACACAGTCTGAACAATTACAAGAAATCATGGTTATACAAATTAGGCACTCTGTTTGTTATAGCACACCTTTTTGCTAATGCTACTTACTCAGGAGCATCACTCTATGTGTCCCACTTCAATTACCCTGGAGGAGTTGCTATGCAAAAACTACACCAGCTGGTACCTCCAACAGCAGGTGAGTAAAACTGGGTTGATTAAAAAAAAAAGTCATCTGGCGGCTTGATACCTTTTGCGGCCCCTTCTGCAGATCGGATGGAACTAAACACATGGGCCATTCTTTCGTTGCTGCACTCTGTGAGGTTTCAAGAGATAAACTGGCAGGTTTAAAGCTTGCTCTTTTAAGCCTTTTCCCATTTGGAGGGTGTGACCTGTGATAGGATGATAAGATGTGAGGAGGGCAACACAGACCACAAAGCCAAATAAATTGAAACGGGAAGGGGAGGGGCGGCTGGGAGAGAGAGAGGCATCCTATCCAACTTCTGTGTGTATGTGTGTGTGTGTGTGTGAGAGAGAGAGAGAGAGAGAGAGAGGGAGGGAGGGAGGGAGGGAGACATCCTATCCAATCAAAGAGTTATATCAGGGCTGGCGGCAGTGTGCACTCTCTCTCCCTCCCTCCCTCCCTCTCCCTCTCTCTCTCACACACACACATACGTTGAATCTTTCTTTCCTCCTGTCCTCCCTCTTCTGCCCCACCCACTGAAGACCCCTGGATTCCCTCCCCAGCCCTGCCTGGCCCATGCAGGCACCACCCATGTGACTGATGTAGAGTTGGCCATGCCCATGACCTGCCACAGCCGTGCCCACCCAGCCGGTGATTAGGAAGAAGCGGTTGTTAAATTACTTGAATCCCACCATTGGTTGAAAGGCCCTATGAATTACACATTTGCATACATTTTCAACCTCTTGCGGAATCAGAGGAACTATGCCGTGAAGGCGATTAGGAATGGGATGTTAATGGCATAAAATGGTGTTCCTTAACCTTGGCAACTGGAAGGTGTGTGGATTCGAGTGCCCGAGTTCCCCCAGCCAGCATGGTCCTTAAAGCTGTAGCGCTTTACGTATGTTAAGTGGCATAAAGAGGGCATGATGTTGGTACATATTATCAAATTTGCTTCTTTAACAAGGGTTACGGTGCTGGGAATGGAGACTGTTAACTGTGATATCAAGAAGAGAGTTGCACTGTAATGTGGATTATATGGCAATTCTTATCTGAATATAAGATTTTCTTACATTCAGATAGTCATTGCCATATAATTCATGCTATAGTGGGGACTCACAAGCGGACAAGCAGCTACCCCTATCCTATTGTTTCTCTACAAGTGGTCTTTGGAGGCATCCTGCCCTCCCCAACCCAGAGATGATACTAAGTATTATCCCTTAGTACAGTGGCCCCCAACCTTTTTTGTACCACGGCCCGGTACCGGCATCACAAAATGATCCACGGACCGGTACCGGCATCAGCACGCACGACCAAGGCAAAGCGAGCTGAGCGACCGGCCAGCCAGCCGTCCCCCGCTTCTCCCCGCCACCTTCAACTCCTCCTTTGTACCTTTGTCGATGGGCTTTTCGGGCTCTTTCTTAATCTCCTCCTGAGTAATGCGAGACTCCACCGCCATCGGGACGGCTCTTCGTTCGAAGCCGCCGCCCCCTTCGACGAAACTAAGGCGCGAGGATTCCTTCAGCACCCAAACGCCGCTTTCCAACCGACAACCGACAAGCTCACCCGGAAGCACTTTGTCAAGCACCATCAAAACAAGATGGCGGCGCCCACTTCTTTGCGGCCTGGTACAAAATGACCCACGGACCGGTACCAGTCTGGGGCCCGGTGGTTGGGGACCACTGCCTTAGTAGACTAGTTACCATTCAAATTTACTACACTGAAAGAAGTGACTTATGACCGTTTTTCACACTAACAACCTTTGCAGCATCCCCAGTGATCATGCGATCAAAATTCAGATATTTGGCAATTAGTTCATATTTAGGACCATTATTGTGTCCCAAGATCATGTGATCACCTTTTGCGATCTTCTGATAAGCAAAGTCAATGGAGAAGCCAGATTCACTTAACAACCGGGTTACAAACTAGTGATTCACTTAACAATAGACGCAAGGAAGGTTGTAAAATGGGGCAAAACTAAAAAAACATCTTTTTTAACAGAAATGTTGGGCTCAATTATGGTCCTAAATCGAGGACTACCTCTTTTTACTACAGAATACTACATTCCAGTATTCTGACAATTGGCAATCAAGTGATGGGAAAGTTTTGTCATTCTTAGCAGAGCCTTTACAAAGCTATATGCAAGGGGTATGCAAGTATTCAGTAACAAGCATACGGTGAGCTGAGCAAAGAATCTTCTCAGACAATACATTGAGGGGTATTTTGAACGCTCAGTATGGCTGTTTTAGGGCCTCTTTCCAGACATCCAAGCTATGAAAGCATGAACAAGAGATTACTTCCACTGAAAGTGCTGTTTTCATTTTGTTGAGGCCCAAAGCCACTTCTGTGAGTAAGTAAGTCAACAGATGTTGTTGCTTTGCTTTTTTATTTCTCACGTGACCTGCACTTTTAATTAATTTAGAAAAGGGCAAAATTCTAGGTTGAGCTAACCTTATTCATTCGGTTTAAGTTATATATTCCACACACAGCATCTCCAGTACAATAGCCATCCAACATTTTCTATTTCAGTTTTGGGAATTTAGGATTTTTTTCAAAGAATAAAAGAAATACAAATCCACAAGCTTGCCCATTAGTAGAGATGGGAATCTCTCCTTGCTTTCACATATATTGGTTTTGGGGTTTTTTGTTTGCAGATGTTTCTGTCCACATTGATGGGGCTGCGGCACAGACTGGCGTGTCTCGGTTTTTAGAAGTCAATTCGGATTGGAAGTAAGTCTACTGTGTATGTAAGAAAAAATATAATTTTTTTGCAGTTTGTTATATATCAGAGATGTCCCACCGCGGCAACTTTAAGAATTGTGGACTTCAACTCCCATAATTTCCCAGCCAGTCATGGGGGAATTCTGGGCATTGAAGTCCACAAGTCTTAAAAGTTGCCAAGGTTGGACACCCCTGTTATATGTGAGGTTATCATCGTAATAATCTCTTGCTCTTATATTTATTTTTGCCTATTCAGGGCTAATATTCTTCAAACTCTTAGCCAGAAAGTTGCATTGGAATTCATCAGGAAGACATAAGTAAAGATCAGGTTGTCTGTTCCTTGTCTCCTAGTAGTCCTTCTCTTTGCAGTGAAGATGAGGTGCCAAGCATAAAATAAGAAACAACATGCAGATAATCTAAAATTGAGACCCTATTATGTAGATTAGAGTAAAACAATCCGTGACCTTCTAAACATTGCTGAACTACAACTCCCAGCAGTCCTGGTGATCATAACCAATAGTGGAAGAAGGTGGGCATCAAAAGTAGTCTTACCCAACCTTGAAAGATGTTTTTCAGCAACGTCTTTGAAAGGTCACAGATCATCCACCTCTGACTTCCCAGCAAAGTTGGGTAAGACATCTTTTTAAATCCCATTAGCTTCTTTAAGGCAGGAGTGTGTAGTGAGTGGCCTCCAAACTTAATTTTTGTTCACTTCTATAGCCCTCTTTACTCTGACCATTTTGAGGTGGGAAACTACAACCATTGTACTGCAAACCCATGGTAGTACAAGAGGAAAGCTCCACTTTTTTCATCACTATCCAGCTCTTCCATTCCAAAATATTAAATATGGCCACCAGGCATCAAAATTCTGCCTAGCCTGATTCCTGGTCTGATAGCCTCTTATCCTAGATCAGGACATTTGCTTTCTGTATTCCAGAGTGTTCATTAGACCAGGGGTATTTATATTTAAACATATCCCCTTTCATTTGAGGGGTGTGTCAGAAATTACTTTTATGTGTCTGGGTTATTTAGTTTTCAATAAGTTGCTGCTGCTTTTGTTCAACATATGTACCTAAGTCCTGGCATACTAACAATTAAAAACAAGTTTTTTTATGGTTTCTTTATATTTTGTTTATAAAATCTAAGTAATTTTGGAGTTGTAAGCAGATATTTAAAATGGTTTATTAGATTTTTGCGAACAACAAAGGAATATATTTTTCCAGTTAATATAAATCTGGGATACTTCTGTGTGCATAGGTTAAAAAACATGGAAAAGTCAAGCCTGGTTGTTGCCAAATTACATTAATGGAAATCTGGGTAAGGATGTTGCACATTTCAAAATCAGGGTGTACTACTCATTCAATCATCAAATATATGCAAATCCACTTACTTGTTTTATCGCTTCTCTTTCTGTTTAGGCAAGCATTTGGGATAGCTAAAAAGGTTTAAAATATTAAAACAAATACTAAACTAATTAAAAGATAAAAATCCTGGATAAAAAGATTTGCCTTTATTGCCTTTCTATAAACTGAAATCATGGTGATTAAATGCAACTCCAGAGGGATCTTGAAAGGAGTTCAGGAGAATGCCTTTTCCTCCATGCCAGTTAGATATTTTCAGAAGGTCCTTCCATATTCAGGGGTCTCCAACCTTGGCAACTTTAAGCCTGGTGGACTTCAACTCCCAGAATTCCCCAGCCAGCTTTGCTGGCTGGGGAA